GTATGCTATATACTATGCTGAAATCTCAAGATGACACACAGGGCTGAACTACCACAGCCATTAACTAGAATGAACTACCACATTGGTATGAGTGGAATGCCACCAGCACAAAACCTTGTGCAAAAGACGAGGTGATTTATTTATTTTTTCTTAAACTTTCTAGGGTCCTTCAAAATTATTCTTGCTCAAAATAGGGCCACTTTCATTTGGAATGAAATATGACACAAGTAACTATACTGCGAAAACGTAAATGATCATTACAGACACTATGTTCATGGGAGACTTGATCTAACGAAAAAATATATTGTAGTTCAGACCCCAAAGTTATTGGGCACTATATAAGAAACATTACATATGTGAAGTTAACACTGTAAGATATTTAAACCCATATTTAAAGACTGCCGGACTGCAGGCAGGACACTGCACTGAACAGACCCAGGATCCACTGCCAATTCTCCCATATCTACAAGATCTTTTAAAAGTTATTATACAGCTGTTAAAAACCTTAATAAAGATCATATACTTCTCGTTGAACCCAAATAGGTTCTCTGTGAGCTCAGTTCTCAGTTCTTTGCAGTTGCCAACAGAGTCTTAACACCTAAATTTTTGAAAAAGAGAAGCTCATGCAAGAAATCCTGTATAACAGGACAAACTGCTGTCCAGTGGTACCAGAGCCTCCTTGGAAAACACTTAATTCACAGAGAGGAAGACAGTTGTAGTGCATTAAGTCTTCCGTAATTAAACTTTTTTGCTTTAGTAACTATTGTAAGTAACAACTGAAACTTGAAGAAGAAAGTCAAATGTTCATTCAGCAGTAGGCAAACACTGAGTCACGGAAGAACAGTTGATGTGAGTTTTCAAAGCTGCAAGTTTGTTCTCCAATTCTGTGTGATTTATAGTAAAGAAACAGGAATCTAGTAAAAAGGGCTAAGTTGCACACGTGATTTCTGAGCCGTAAATGGCTGCTGGTGGGCATCTGGGGATGCAGGCATGGGCAGAAACTTAAAACTAGCTTTTGGTTCATGTTACAAGCAGCAGTAAAGCTTTAAACTGAAGTGGCAGATTTGAAAAAATAGTGCAACCCCTTAGACTATGCTTTCTCCTGAGAAAAGTTCTTATTTGTATCTGTTTTCAGGTACCTTGCACAAGAAACAGAAGTATTTAAGAAGATGCTACATTTTTTCCTGCTTCTTTTAAAGAAATTCTATGCTCTTTCTGTTACAGCATATTTTAAAAAGCTATTTCATCTCACAGCATACATTTTTATGTTTGTTTTTTTTTTAAAACTTATTTATTTTATGGCATAGCGGAAAGCATTCACTGTATGGCTGAAAAGGAGCCAATGTGCATCAAAGTATGAAAGAAATAAATTCATTCCACTTGTAATGAGATTTCTCTTCAGTTTAGTTTGATTACCTTTACTATTGTGTCCAATGCTATTTGGAAAAAAGAGACAAAGACAGGGAAAAGAATCAAAAGCCAAGCAATTGTACCTGTTCTGAAGAATATCTTTGCATATTTACAATACAGTAATACTACAGTAACGACAAATTGTAATGGCATTGTATCAGTTATCAAGGTGATGAGAGTTGATCCTGTCCAAAGATCACACTGGAAACTGGCTATGCTCTTACAATGGGCACAACTCTCAACGACCAAGAATATGCTCATCATGTTAAACAATAATATACCTGTGATTTAGAAATAAATGGAGTTATTCCACTAACAAGTATTTCAAGGTTTAGCTACAATCAACATTGAAAGTACAAATCAAAGGAGGAAGAAGCAAAAGTTCAGCATCATCTTTTATTGTGCCTAGAGGTAATGTGGCATCTTGTGATGTTTTTTCTGCCAGAACTCTGTAGGATCATTCCTCTTGGGTTGTGTCTGTTATAGAAAAATAGACTTCTGCTGAGCCAGTGGCACCAGCTTAAGCACAAAGATTTAGGGACTCACATTAGCCACAGCAATCTAGAAGAATCACTGCAGTTTTCATTATATCTGCAGCAATGTTCTGCAAAACTGCTGCAGCTATTTTGGGGCATCTTCAGAAATTTCTAACACAACTTTCTGAGAGATGTATATAAGCTTGGTGGAGTTGCTGATATTATTCATGTTAATTAACCTGCATTGCCTTTTCAAACTCGCCCTTTTCATGCACTGTAGACACAGTGGCTCTGCAAAGGACTCAAGTCACCCTCATCAATAGTGTAAAGCTTGGAAAGGAAACAGCCCCAGTTCTTTAACCTCTGAAATGTACACACAGATTTCTTTTTTAAGAATAAGGAAATTCTGAAAATGAAATAAATCTCCTTTAATAAAAGGTTTCCAAAATTAGAAAGTGTACCTCCACAAACTGGTGTATCACTTCTTTTTGAGCACTAAGTAAGGATTTGGGGTGTAAATTTATTTAATCTTTTCCATCAAGAATATTACTGACACTCAGCTTCTGTTGCTCTGATGCAGCTGAGCAGCCAGCTTACCAGAGAAAAGCCTGCATGTGGGCAGTCTGCCTGGGAGCTGGTTCCGCCTTTGGCATACCATGGAGAGTCTTAAGGATGTTCTAGTTTACAGAGAGAAATTACACAGATTTTTTCTGAAAATTCTTTCAGAAGGAAATATCAGTAAACAAACAAACAAACAAAAAAGTTGTGTAAATGAGGCTAGCTTGTTTCATGGCAAGAAAACTGTTTTAATCAGATTAAGTTGCATTTTCCATAGAATGATAGAATCATAGAATTGCTCAGGTTGGAAAAGACCTTTAAGATCACCAAGTCCAATTGCAACCTAACCATACTACCCTAACTCTAACAACCCTCCACTAAATCATGTCCCTGAGCACCACATCCAAACGTGTTTCTAGACATATCCAGGGATGGTGATTCAACCACCTCCCTGGAGAAACTATTCCAGTGCTTAACAATGCTGTGTAAAGAAGCTTTTCCTAAACCTTCCCTGGTGCAACTTGAGGCCATTTCCCCTTGTCCTGTCACCTGTCACCAGTGAGAAGACACCAACCCCACTCTTCCTGCTATCACCTTCCAGGTATTTGAAGAGAGCAATAAGGTTTCCTCTCAGGCTCCTTTTCCCCACACTAAACAGCCCCTGTTCCTTCAGTCTCTACTCGTAGGGCATATTCTCCAAGCCTTTCACAAGCCTTGTTGCCCTTCTTTGGACCTGCTCTAGCACCTCAATGTCCTTTCTGTATTATGTATGTATGTATGTATGTGACATAGCAATTTAGGCCATTATTTAAGCCCACAGTTAAATGTATTTTCTGTAAGATTTACCAGGTTCTCAACCAAAAATATCCTCTCTTAAATGCTAATTGCTATTATTATCCAGCCCATGGACATTCTCAGTGTCTTTTCCTAGGAACCAGCAACAATGATGTATCTAGATCAGATAATTCCTGTCTGTCACTGTAATTGCAAGAGGTTAATTTTCTTTTCAGTCAGTGATGTATAAATTGGATGCAGATAATAGTTGCTTATGGGGCCTTCTCTATAGAAGTTGCTTCCATCACTACCATATTTAACAGTTTTACTACAGAAGTTCACATTTTACACCTTTGTCAAATGAATGACGTTCAATGAAGTTCACATTTAACTTCATATGGCTTTTTAGTCCTAAATACTGTATGAAGAGGAGAAAAGAATAACAACTGAGTTTTGTTTCTGATGACATACTCATGAGTGAATACAATAACTGCCATGATGGCACTGTTTGTTACAATAAGATTTAAACAGCGTGATATGAAGAGTTGACCAATCTCAAAATCAGAGGACTTCATCTATTTATGTGCTTAAACCTCTTTATCTAGTAACAAGCTCTTCACACTTCTCCGTCTGGGCAATTGCTGCCTTTGGCAATAATGATCTGAGTGGGTGGCTGAGAATGGAGCTGGCAGACACAGTACAGATGCAAATTACTGTACTTAGCAGCACTCACATTCATTTGTCCAGGCAGTCATTTTCTATAATTCCAGAAGTAAGCCAGAAGTCATAAAATATTGTACTTGTCACTAACTAAAAATAAAATATGTTACGTAATCAGCCTTTATTATCATAAAATATAGTGTTAAATAGATAATTGAAGTGTCAATATGCCCAATGTCATAAAGAAATCGCTGAAAAAAATGAAATACACTCTGTGTGCCTAATTTGTCTTTTTGTGTTTTATTTTTAATACTGCCATTGGAGATCTCCTAATGCAAGTGTGACTGTTGATATTCATTACCAAGGCCAAATAATAACAACCATAAAGATGGTAAAATCCTGGTTAGGTTTTCCTTCACTCTAGCAAGTTATTTCTTTCATTATTTTACCTACTGAGATGAATTACAAACGTGACAGAAAGGAAAACCAAACAATGCACAGCATTACTAAAGGCTATCTACAGTTCACTGAAATTAACAGTCATTATTTCTGTGTTGACTGCAATGTTGCTGTTCCACAGCATATAAAGTAAGAGTCAAAATACAATATGAACTTGCATATGTATTAAACTTCTTGACTGTACAAATAATTACTTGACGTGCAATACCCAGGCCACGATTTCAAATGCAGATTTTTTTCCTTTATCTACAGTGCATTTTTAAACATACATAAGTAAAATTTCACTTAATCTTTTTTTTAAACTATGCCCTGAATAAATATTCAACCTTCTAGAAAAGTGGCATCCAAATAAACAATAAGAACAAGCCTAAAGAAACAAAGGAGAAAATCTATTTGTGTACATTGACATCACAGCAGCAATCTCAACAAGCTAAACTTTCTCAGGAGAAATAAGCTTTTCTCGGAACAAATTAACTTTATTTAAATAACAGTGGCAGTAACTATAACTGTAACTGTGGTCTTATATGATTATATGAGAAGACAGCAATTAAAGTAACAAGTTTTTGGAATCAGAATCTAGCTTAATTCTATTGAGTCATTAGTAAGAAAATTGCTAAGGCACAAATGTATCAACACTAACTGCAATCAGAATCCAGACAGTACCTTAGCTTTATCCCTCATGGAGCCTTTTCCCAGGATAGACATTTTTGCTCCTGTTTCTTCTTGTAACCTCTTCAAGGAGTTCCCTCTTGGTCCAAGCAACTTCCCAACAAAATTGAACTAGAAAGTAAATAAGAAAACTATTTTAAAACAAGGAGCATTTAAAAAAAAAAATAAAAAAAATCACAAATCTTCATAAATGAGTTGCTTTAAGAGAAAAGTTTACTCTTATTTTTAAACAATACTACTATTTAATTCTAGGATTAATTCATATAAGTGTGAAGAATGGCGTTGTTTTCTCATGTGCTTTGGAAAGGAACTATAAGCACTCATAGTTTATCTGAAACCCAGGAGATTCGTCTTTAGGAGAAAAATGGACAACAGCTGCTTAGGTTTAGCAAAGTGCTAAACAAGATCTTGGCTTATTAGATGACATAGGTGAAACTAAGAAAATGAATATGTTCTTTCCTGCGATAGTCAGCTTTATTGGCAGAATAATGTATTTTGCAAAGCTAGAGCTTTTGATAGGTTTCTAAGAATTGATGTTTTACATATCGATTTTAAAGTAAATGTCGTTTCACGTATCGGTTTCAAATATCTGTTTTGCCAGTAACTGAACAAGTCACACAAACAGATCACTCCAGATAACCAGGCTCTTGTCTGAGGATTTTGCAGAGCACTGGAATTTGTCTGATATGCTGCAAATACTTTTAAACAGTGTACAGTTCCTATGGCACATACATTGTTGTATTTTTTTTTCTGCACGAAGAAGAGAGATGTCTACTTGAAAATTCTTTGACAGAACACTAATTAAATAAGGCGTTAATGCTTTGTCATCATAAAGTACCAAAGCATGGAAGCTATCAGGTGCTCTGCAATCGACAGTTTATTCAACTTAGTATGTGTTATGCTTTCCAAAATCTTTTTGGATATGACATGATGTCTTTGGAAATTGATGGAGAACTCTGGTCTGTCTTTCAATAAAGACTAAGCTCACCTGAGAATAAAGGTGTGCAATTGTATCTGCATGACAATAAGAATAGCAATCAAGGACATGCTGGTGTCAAAACTTAAGGAAGATCACAAATGATACAACCACAGAATCATCTAAGTTGTAAAAGACGTTCATGACCACTGAGTCCAACCATCAACCTGACCTACACCGTCCCATCACTAAACCAATGATATGTCCACACATCTCTTAGATACCTCCAGGGATGAGGAATGCAGCGCATCCCTGGGCAGCTCACTGCAATGCTTGACCACACTCTCCATGAAGAAATTCTTCCTCATGTCCAGTCTAGACCTCCCCTGGTACTCAGTGTGTGGCCGTTTTCTCGTATCCTATCACTTGTCACTTACGTAAAGAAACTGACACCCTCCTTGCTGCAATTGTAACTTCCTTCAAATATTGGTTAAACCATCGAAGAAAAAAGTATGTAATCTCAGGAAAAAATAAACACGTAAGACAAAATCTACTTCCACCTAAATTAACATCACCAATTTCAGTTAGATAAAATGCCTAGGGGGAAATAGCAAGTGGTACAGCTGTGGAGAAAAAGAACAAGCTTCGACGCTCAAAATAACATTTTTCAGGCTTGTGTGCTTGCAATTTGTTCCAACTTTCTCTATTGATTTAATAAAAGTCAGCAACTCTTTCAATAAATCCCATCCCTTTAAATCATCATGGTATCAGCAATACTAAGTCTGTACTAAAACTGTAGCTATGTATCTTCCAGGGCCAACTTTGCCTGAAAGAAGTTGCTCTCTTCAGATGGATTATTAAATTTCATATGCAAATAAGCCTAACGATGAGGAAGGAGTGGCAAAGACTGAATTTCAACTTTAATTTGAAACTATATACTAACCCTAGGACTCAATTTATAAAAGTAAGATTTCAAAAATGAAATCTCATGCGTGTGCAGGCTCATTAGAGAAGATTGAGCAAACAGCTGAGCTTTCTCTTCTCTGCAGGAAATACATGTGCAGGAAGGCAGTTAAAAGATGAAATCTTTTGTGCCACTTACACTTCACTAATCGGAGTAGAATCCGAGAGAATTTATGCTGCATTCCATTACTGTCTCTAAATATTAGGAAAAACATGCCTTTCAAAAGATGAAAGTCTACGGCTGCCTAAGTTTGGGTATAAGAGGGCCAGTCAAAGCTCAACAACATTTGCTCTCTGAACAGAATAAAACTATTAAAATAGAGCTTATGAAGATTTATGTTGAACATTTATACCAAGTACTTTATAAACTACCTAATAATTACCTTGAAATATTGCTGCAAAGGAGCAGTATGGCCAGCATAAACTACGTACAAAGTGGATTTTAATCACTTCACCGGAAATAAGTGGCTGGGGATTTTAATTCTATTGATTATGTAGCAGACAGACATTCACACTTCATCCACCTTCTACTCTGAAGAAAATATATCAGGAAGCATTCCGTTACTTGCAACTGAAAAAATGAATTGCTGTTAGTTTGGGTGTGTCTGAAGTTGCAGAAAAGCTAGTGAACAGTATCAGAAATTCTACCACTGTCCTCAGTCTTCCCAGCATCAGTAAGTTCTAGGGACACCAGCTATCCTTAGCATTAATCTGCAATCGTAAATCTGAAAACCCCTTCCAGCAGGACGTGCTACACATCAGCATTCTTTGTTTGCTTCATGTTAAGCCCTGGAGAAGAGAATCCCTAAAACTAACAGCGTGTTGTCAAGCTGGAGCACAGCACAGGCAGTCTGTCTTCCAGTGTCAGCGCTTATTATGCTGATATATCATGCACAGCATTTTTGAAATACCAGATATTAATTATAACCTGTGCTGTTAAAAAACATGTACATTAGTTCTTAAATATATCCCGTAGCATACAAACAATCTTGCGACAGTCTAAAGTGTACTATAGTATCTTTAGTTCACATATATTTTCATTGTCATACTTGAACTTATCCTCTCCAATTTGGACACAGGTTGTTTTTGATGTGACTTACCACATCAGCAAAATTGTTACAGAATTGAAAATAAACATGCAGACAAGCATTTATATTAACTTCTTGTGGTTTAGTTCTACATGCGATTTAACTCACAGCTACTTCTCTGAACTTAGAAGCTTCTTTCTTTGCTAAATGTGACTTTTGTAGATGCTTTTAAATCTTTCTTTTAAGGACAACAGATACTAGCACTGGTTGATTCTCTGATTGAACTGTGGGGCCTACCACTGGGATTGAGTGACCACAGGACTGGATGTGAGGGTTGTGGCACCTACAGAGCCCGCCAGAAGAGTTAGAATAACCTCAGGGTCTGCCAAAAATGTCAGAACAACTGCAGGGCTCTTTGCAGGAGCTGGAGCAACCACTGGGCCTGTAACAGCAGCCGGAGTGACTGTAGGGTTCACTGCAAGGGTTGGCAGAGCAATCACAGGAGTTGGAGTAACCACAGGATTTGTCATAGAAGTTGGAGCAGCCACAGGGCTCACTGCATTGTCATCAGATCCAGAGGTGTTCTCCTCTCCTTAAGGATGCTGAACAGTGTTGAACAGAGCTTGGTGGTCATAGGCCAGGTCCCAGCACATTCCTGTGCTTTGTGTTAGGATTGTCAGGGTGACAGCATACCTTTTCCAAATATTGTAATGTTTTTTTAGGATTCTGCAGGTGTTAATAAGTGATGTTCCAAACCACTAGGGTTGCCCACTGTTCTAAGCACCTGTTCATACTATGAACTACCCCTCCTCAGGGAAAACCTCTGGGTGATATGCTTAAACAATTATTTAGTCTTAAACATAACCTGAAACACAGTCATAACACACAGCAATAGGAGCATGCTGGTTTGAATATCCCACAGATTTTCAGAATTCTCAAGACCTACTGTAGCTAGCTCTTGAGCTCTATGGAAAGAAGAGAAGGTGAAAGGGAGGCTGAGGAACTCTAGGAAGTGTTCTCCCCTATTTCATCCATAGCTGGGCTCCGTAAGGAGACAAAGCAAAGAGTGTAATTACTAATACTACCAATTGTATGGGTTCCAAAACTCAAAGTCAAGGCTACACAGCATAGGAAAACAAAAATATTAATCCAACCCCCAGAGGTGAAAAACAAGTCAGCAGAGAAAACAAGCAGCAGACAAGGTGCTAAACAATATAATTCCAAGCGAAAAATCTCAAAGAGCTCCATAAACAGACAAGAAATTAACACTGTGACAAGCAGTCACCAAACTACCACAGCATCCTGTATTAATGTGGTGCGATCAGATCTGCTATCTCAATCCTTCAAGCCCCACGCTGGATGCCAAGATGACTGCTGTGGTTTAATCCAGCAGATGGCTGAGCATCACACAGTCCTTTACTCACTCCCTCCCCTCTATAGTGGGATGGGAGAAAGAATCAGAAAAAAAACACAAAATAGAACTTGTGTGCTGAGATAAAACTATTAACTAGGATAGAAAAAAGGAAAAGGATAAAAGTGATTATATCTATGTCAGTCTGTCTATAGATATGAATGTATATAACAACTAATATACAAGCAATTGCTCACCACCCCCAGCTTATGCCCTTGAGCAGCAGAAGAAAAAGAGATGAAGTCCCACCCCTTCAAAAACCCTTCCTTGTGATGTCACATGGGATGGAATATCCTTTAGGCCAGTTTAAGTCAGCTGTCCTCGTCCTGTTCCCTCCCAGCTCCTTGGGCCCTTCCCAACAAATGGCCCTGGCTCTCTACAACACTGCTTGGCTACAACTAGAAGCACTGGTGTATCATAAACATTGTTTTCTCCTAGAACCAAGACATGGCATCGTACCAAATACTCTGAAGAATACAATTCCATCCCAGTTGAAACTAAAACATAATATCTATTGTATATGATGTTGTGAATTCAAGGAGAAGTTTCTTTAGTATATGGCGTATTAAAGCAAATTGTCCAGGACGTGAAACACAGTGGGTGTTTGAACTTTCAAGTAGGCATCCAAGGTAAATAGACACAGCTCCATTACTGCATTTGTGTTGTATAAAAACGGTGAAAAGAAAGTGAATTTATACTGTAAAAAGCTGTAGCTAATATTAGCATACTTGTCTCTTCACCGTTTTCCTGAACTAGGTATGAGATGCATATGCATACTATAGTGAGCTAATAA